ATGATTATTTTTTACATTATGAAAAAGATACCCGAAAAATAAAACGTGCAATGTGTCACTTATAAAGAAAACAATAAAACGAACGTATATTGAATAAAAAAGTTAAATCACAACAACAACAACAACAACAACAACAACAGCAATATCATCAAAACAAACTAGCAAATATTAAATTAGTCTGAGACATACGAAAATGAGCTTTATCATTCGCATTTTACATTTATTCTATTCATAAATCTGCCACACATGCCCTGTAATCAATTTATATAGGGTTCATTTTTTTCTGTTGTTTAATTGATGACGTCTGTGGCACAAGTTTTATATCAATTGTACAATAATACATTACAAGGAATAGATGTTAAAAACATTCATTTCTAATTTGACGAATTATGTATTACTTAATACATTCAGATACATATACATAAAATACAATTACACAAAGATAACCAAAATTTAATCACAGAAATTCATTTTAAAACAATTGTTTGGTAAAGAGTGATCAAAGAGGTTTATCGTAGTCAGATGTTGTGAAGGGAATGCAGCCAGACTTATCCGTGATCTTGTCTACACCTAGTTTATATCATGTAAATCTTTGATCCTCCATTGATTGCCAATGATACTGTGAAAGATAAACATCATTTAACACCCTGCGAGAAATTTATTCGCTTACATACAATGATTTATTGTTTCATGTTGATATTCATCAGATGTTGATTATGAGTTATAGAATCGGCTGATTATCATATCAGTATCAGTAGTGCTTGTTTCTTGTTTGTTTTCCTTTGGGTTCTTTCTGAAAAGATGTTCCTCGATTATGATAAATGATATATTTATTAATAAAATAATTTTAGTGCACAGATAAATAAAATAGTTGTAGTACACACGGATGTCCATTAAACGCAAACTAAACAATATTAGAATGTGCATTTAGATTTATATTAGTAGTTCATAAATATTTTGATATTGTATGAACAGCTACGTGGTAGATCACAAGTGTTGGAAACAGGAAAACAGCGGGATCTTTCATATTTAACATTATAACAATAACAATTTATATCTCGCATGATTTATGGATCATTGATACGGATAAATCTGCCAGTGAAGAAATGTCTAGGTGCAATTATATAGTGAAGATAATGATTCGCAAAGTCTCGCAGCGCGGTCATAAAATCTTCTTCGATTACACATCCCTGATAAGCATAGGAATATGTTTTATATCATGTTAGAAAAATTGTGGTTAATATAAAATGGCATTACTCTATATCAGGTTAGATAAATAAAAGATCAGACTGATTATTATGCATAAAAACAATATTTTACATGTGTTTTTGTTTCATGAATTTAAATTATTTCATTGATTAACGAGAAAAAGATGAGAAAGAAGAGAAATAAAACAGATAACTAAATATATGTATTAGAAAATAACACGCTTATTGTTAATTTAATTGTTAAGAACGTTTTGAAAATCATCGCATTTTACAGAGAAAAATAAAACGTATTGTGTATTTTATTCATTTAAGATATACAATTATTATAGAACTTATTTGTCTTATTCATTTTTTTGATAAACAGTTGATATAATTTTGTTTTAGGAAGGATTAAATATGGGTACAATTAGGATCTCAAGTGAAGGAATAAACATCGCCGGTCGCACGGATGTGGTCAAGACACTGTACGCCTCAAATATAGCTTCAAAAAAGGTTTGTGTTTTGCCTTCATATACGTTGTCAAAGAAGTAGATTCTTGATAAGTTTAGTGTCTGATTTCCTTTTATTTTCTAATGCAACATGCATTTTTAAGTTTATGTAGTTGCTCGACCTTCATATACTCTTTTATTGCCGCCCTCTTAGCCGAAAAAAGGAGAGGATCGGATTTGTAATTTAGGGGTTGCTGGTTAGATCCGAAGGTCGAGGTGAAATTTCTGGGTGACAAATGATTTCGGACATTGAGTTAAATGTCCATTTGTCTCTCACCGCTGATTCAGAAGAACTTATGTGGGATTAGTTTCCAGTCATTTCACTCAATATGTTGAGAAGGTAATTACTGGTTAGTTATCCAGAAAAGCCGGTAAGGTGGATTGGTCGGCGAAATATTACTAAACTGTGTTTAAATCGGCGTGAAATCTGAAAAATAAACGAATAATTTTTTTTTGTGATCAGTCAGCTCAGTTTATGATATGTGATATTATGTGATGATATGTGATATTATGTGGACATTATTAACGATATCAATCAGATGCAATAACGATTTTAATATTATACAGAAAATCAGCACATTGTATTTACGTTTTTCTTCATATTTAAATATTACTTCAAACAGTTTTCTCTCTGTTCATGTATTCAAGGTTGCAATCACATCTTTCAGTTTGCATATCTATCCAAAAAACATTCCCAATTAGCAGGAATTGCTTTGTATCCTTCCGTAACATCTGAGATATGTTTCTCACAATGTTTGTTGTTACATTCAATCATTCGAGATGCTTTCTTTGCAAATGTGTTTCGTATTATTATTGTTGAACATTTTCTTTGCTAAACATTTATTTGTGTGTGCGACAAACATAGTTTTCAGAATACCAGGAAAACTAATGTTACTTGTTTTATTCTATAATTATATAAAGGTTCTTCAGAACTCCATGTCGTTTTTTAACAATATTAAAGCATCAAGTAAAGGGAACAGATATCTGAAGCATTATTCTATTGAATTTTGACATTTATATAAAATTTTACAATTATTCCTAAATTCTTCAATTTTATCAATTTAATCAGAAATGACTCTGTTTTGATGTGTATTGCTGTTTGAATTGTGTAAATGTGTATTGCAGTTTGGATTGTGTGTATGCATAATCAATCTTTTACGAAATGTAAGAAATTTTAATTGCATGGTGTAGCATTTAAACATAACACTTCTCATCAACGTTTTCTTTTACAGAATAAAGTTTTAAAAATAGAATCGGAAAGAGATATATTCCTCAAATCCAGATATTCCGACAAAATAAACTCTTTCCATATAGGTAAGGTTAACTTAGCATTGTGTTAAAAAAGATTTTGTTTGTTTGTTGAATTTTGATATTTTTTCTTTTTGATAATGTTTACTTACAAGAGTAAGACATTTCTTTATGAACACATTTCAAAGAAATAGATGTTTACATATGCAAATTAATACATTTACCTACATAGAAATGATATAACCATTATTAACGCATAAACATATATTGATGGAACATTCGGCAGTGCATGATTGAAATGAAGTATAAAGTAATTAGAAATTATTTTCAGGTAAGAATAAAATAGACGCTTCATGTGACACGTTTGAAATACGTGACCCGAAAGGTAAAAGTCGTTTTAAAGTGACAGAGAAAGGTGTGACATATGGAAGTGACGAGGTGACATACAGCGGTAATTTTCTTATCAGCAATCATCTTTTGTAACGAATAGACCATAATTTTGAATGTGTTATAACTTATGATATAGCACGGTATGAAGTTCAGATAATCACAAAGGTCCTTGACCCAAGTGATTACTTATAAATATCTGAACGACATACCCGTGCAAAACTTTACCATTACACACATTTTATCATTCTAAGACAAAGGGAGAGAAAACGTTATTGGACTATAATAAATATGTCGATAGATCTACCATTTACTTGAATAATTTGAGAATGATGAAAACTTGAAAACATTGGTTAACATGTCATGCTTTTGTTGAGGGAAATACCAATGCCTGAGATTCGGGGAGGTACGAAGCAAACACATGGTAAGGTGAATGCATATTGTCCAGGGAGTGACAGGAACGGCAGCACGGCTTCTTAATTATTGCCTATAATTGGAAACTTTTCGAAAATATCAAAATGAAACAATTACAATTACATCAGCAACAATCGTTGTAAAGTCTCATAAAACTATCTAAGAATATGGAAATAACGTAATATATTGATCTATGTCATACCTGTCTATAAATATTATAGATTTATTAAGAATTTTGCGCAATTACTGCGTTCATAAATGTGCAATAAATTATATTACAGGAAAAGCCGTGTTCAATGGGTCAATAGAAACACCAAACATACGAGGACCTCACAAAGGTTCCCTCAGGTAGTTTTCCCACTATTAACAAGTTGATGATGCTGTTCTTTTAAAACATTCATTTGAGAATGCACTGCCTGATACATCACTGTCGTACACTTTTCTCGTATATTATCTTAGTCAGCCACTATGAAAATAGTATGGTATTGAAACATTTCCAGAATAATGTCATATGTTATATATTTGGTTCAACTTACCGTCCATGCAAGAATGCCAAAATGCGGAAACACAAACATATTATGTCAAAGTTGGACTTGTCTTGGTGTTTTTCGCATTTTCCATGTTAGTGACGAAAAAGCAAAATTACGACATTGCATAAATAAGCCATCATTAATTCATATAAATGCACCAGCCGTAGCTTTCGCAGAAGATGTGGGCGATGTAGCATTCGTGGCAGAAGCAGTTGGTGAATATGGCTTCCAGTTCATTTTTCGCTGTTGTCGGCAAGTTTATTTCCGAATTTACTTTATATTTTAACGTTTTACTTGAAACACACAGCGAGACCGAAACCGATATATGCACTCTATCAGTTCTTTACACAAACACAGAGAAATTTTTTGCAATTTATGTAAACCCTACTTTTTGACAAGGGGACGCCGCTTTGCCAAATTTTGGATAAAACCGAAACAATTTGTTACAAAACGTGAAAATGACCCCAGCGTTTGCATCGCATTATCGCATTGTATGTACGATACTTTCACAAATCGACTAGGGTTTGTTATTTCGGGTTTTGTTATAACAAGTATGTGAAATAATTGAGAAAAAAATGATTGCAACGCAGACGGTGGTGGATAAGACTGCAATGCGAAACAGTATAAGGAGTTGATAGAGTACTTACATATGTGGACCCCAGTCCCAGTAAAACGTTTTAACATAAAGTAAAATTTGGCATTAAAATTAACGATGACAGCGAAGAAGCCATATTTATCCACTGCTTCTGCGATAAATGCTCTACCCCCGCAGCGATGGACCCACCGCTTCTTTGGCCAGTTTGGTAGATACGATGTAGCATCTTATAAAAGTGAGAGAAATTTTTCAGTGCCCGGGTCTGTAGTGACACAACATGTTGTAATAATTGCTATTTTCACTATTTTTGCAAAAATTCTGATTTTGTTTCTAGTAAAAAAGAAAGCATTGTAAAACTGTTAAATTCGCATGGTTTCTTATGTAACGACAGAACGCAACATTTGCCTTAAGTGTTTGGCCAGAAATGTTTTCCTTTAAAACATAAACGTGTATAATGTACGTATATTCCCATGTTTTATACTCGTCATGTGATTTTAAGAAAATCTAAATATGCAGGAATATACTACGTAATACATAATTACATAATTACATTTGTAGGTTGGAGTCAGCGTCAAGTTCTATCATTCTGTCTGGTAGGGATGGCGTGTTGATAGAGGCACCGGAGGGGAATGTCGAAATGAAAAGTGCTCATGATATTATATTTGCATCTAATAAAAAGGTAACGATTTCATTTTTTTTTACCTAATGTTTCATAAAAAAACAACCACACAAGCTGTTTTGGTGGGTCTAAGCAACAACTACACATTTTATCATTGTTCTCGAAATATTAACAATTATCTCAAATACAAGCAACAATAGTCATACAAAAATGCGTCTATATTTTCTTTGTAAAACAATAAGTGCATTTAAATATCGTGAGAATTTTACAGATCATTTATACAGTAGTTTTATTATGAAGTGAAAAACAACAGATACATATTGACATTAATTGATATATTAATTATTTCTTTTTAGATCAGTTTTAATTCAACAAAAATCTATATGAACAACATCGACATCAGCGCGCCAAACGGAAGTGGAAAACAATACAACGATGTGTATCAACTTTGTGTTTGTCAAAATGGAAGACTTTTTCTAGCGCCCTCTGTTGGCCGCTGCGTAACAGAAAAAGAAACATGTACGTGACAACGTAGTGTCCATTATTTAATATACATATATGTTGTGATTTTACATTGTTTAGAAATAAAACTAAATAAAATGAAAATTTTTGTTTGAATCAAATTTATGTAATTACTAAGCGTAATATAGGTGTTCCATACTATCACGTTTATAAGTAAAAGTGCAGGTACCTTAAAATAAATTACACATAAGGGTAATTCCACTGTACTAGTAAGATTTAATAGATTTATGTGTAAGCCTTTGACCCGATTAAGGCTACATTACATTGCATATTAAATGTAATAAATACTTTGATTAATCATCAAAGGGACTGAATGTTCTCAACTGTCTTTGGTTTTGTCTGGAACAAGAAAATTCTCTTTTATTTTTGTGACACAGTACGGTTTTGATTAATGTGGCACAGGTTTTATTAGCAGTACCATACTTTTAGAAGCAGAAGGATCATCGACATTTATGTTAAGTCCAAGGTTGTTTGTTCTTGTACAAACTGTCGGTGGCACCATGTCAACCTGTATCACTTTCTCATTGTCATTAAATATAAGAACACACACCTCGATATAGGCTTCACCGTTTATCATAGCAGAATCGTGACAAAAGAGATTTATGCTCCAGTTGTTTTCATGCTTTCTGTATGTAATTTTCCATTCCCCGTTACGGTTTTCAGAGACAACTGGGCCAGCGTTTGTTCTCACATCGACCTGTATTCCAAATCTTAGCGTATTTTGCATGAGTACAGAGTCGACAGCTAGATCCATGTAATTTCTCGGCTTGTAGAACTGCCCGTCAAATGTAACATCCAATTTGTCCTGTGATGGACATAGTGACCGGTATCTGTATGCCTTGTTAACAAGTTCCTTTAGAATAAAATTAACTTCAGAACGTTTGAAAAAGCTAGATAGTTCAATATCGTAGAGCTGGCTTACTAACATCTGTGGAAAGCGTATAAGTGGTAAAAGGGCTTCAGCATTTTCTTTTATTTTGTGTTCATGGGCTTCAAACTGGAGCCAGGAAACCAGTCCGGAATAGAGCAAATACTCATTCGCAACAACTAAACCCGAGTTATTTAAAATATCCCTTATAAACTGCAAATCCATATTAAGCCATTCTGAGCACCCAAGTATTGCTTCGATATTCCATGCGATTGTTTTAGTACAGGATTCAACAAGTGCTTCCAGGTGAAGAGCTTTTGCCCAGTTGTACCAGTGCAAAGCATTATGTACCCTTGGCGATTGTGTATTTTGCACCATGTACCCAACACATAATGCTTTAAGAGATGTGACGTTGTACTTGTCGGCAAGACATAAAACACCTACCGCCGTCTCAACGGAGACTGTCACCTCCGCTGTATACATGAATCGCAGAAAAATGTCAAATACTGCCTGGCACTCTTCACTTTCAGTAAGAATTAGTTCATTGTTTTGGCTTTGAGTCCACCCATCTCCGTAGAGCATAGTTCGGAAAACATCGCTAGATTTTGCTAGAACAAACTTATGTCCAAAATAATGTTCTTCCCCAACTTTTATACTGACATCACTCAAATCCTCTTGATTGAAGAATTGTGAAACGTTCCGAATAAAATTATCTTCGTCTCTTAGTACCTGTTGCATAAGTTCTGTACCATTTACAGAATCCAATATTTCGACTTCTTCTACAAAATCCATGTCCAATGCCTGCAATATATATACAAATCTCTATAAAATACTTGGTCAAACAGGATATAAGATAAAGTCGTACATGATTTGTACATACAACGTATTACCTTCTAAAAACTATCATGTTAACTTTTCCGCTGTATATGTCCTTAGCAAATAAATGAACCGCTGTTATATCCATTACAAGTTTCGTTTATTGAACGTTCCCTGAAAGCCTACACAATTACAAAGACACTAAATATCTTCCACTGACAAAAACCAGAAAATAAAGTATTGATCGAGTCTGAGAATGGCCGCCAAATTTCCTGCTAACTTCACTGCAGCAATATTGATTGCGTAACACGATATATAAGTATCACATAATAAAATGACTAGAAATATCGCTGAGCATTCCAAATCAATCAATATTAACATTACCAAAAGCAACAACAGCAACAACAACATCAAATTTGGCAAAACAACAGAAAACTACAGCCAGAACAAATTATTGGATGCGTCACAAACCTAAGCCTTATAAAGTTTGTGAAATAATATAACTTAGAAATATGACCAAATAATTAAATATTTGATATACTAAGAAAAATCTATGAAATTATGATCAAATAATGACATATTTAATATACAATGAATAATCTATGAGAATGAAAAGATAATGAATTGTATAATTGTAAAAAATGTGCTCTTTTGGAGAAAATAAAGTTATTATTATTATAATTATTATTTTCTAATATTGCATACATCATACCTTTTAAATTTCCCCCAAAAAATGATCAAGTTCCAATATCTATTGTCCTATTATTGAACAGCTGATATTTGGCTCTAAACTAATAATTAGCAAAATAAAATCCATATTTACCGCTTTAAACTAGGTTAACTATACATTACAACTAAGTATTTGAAATATTTGCAAAAACACACTTATGTAAATATTTAGTAAAACATAATAACACAGTTTGTATTACAATACAAATGTACATTTACCGATACACACGGGAAGCTATCTCCTCATTATTAAATAAAATATTTTAAGCATAAATCCTTTTCGCAATATGATTAGTCCATTTCTCCATACTGATTGCCAAAAAGTAAATCCGATATTTTAGAGTTATCTACATAAAATGAAATCATTTAACGATTTAATTATTTAAACATTTTTATTTGCCGTTTTCCTTTCTTTCATATAATTTTGCAGTGTTATTTATCTAAAATATTTTACGAATTTGCGCTATTTAAAAAGAAAATTGCGAATTTTTATGCTCATTAATTTTACGGTTGGAAAATCTTTGATTTACTTTTACTGAGGCAATAAATGTCATGAATAGTTGTAGTTGTGGTTTGAACTTTAATTGACGTGCGAATGATTGACACCATACAAAAACACGTGTACAATAGGGGAATAGAAATATTGAACTTTTATGTGAAAAGAGTGTGGTTAAATGTTGAAAAATATGTTTTTACTATTCATGCATACTTCGCAATAACCCATCAACTTTAACTTAGAATAAATATAACTTAATCGAGAGGCAAAGAAAATATAGATAAAAGAAATTGAATTCTTATTTTCCGCGCCTTGGAAAATAACGGTGAGTCACGGCATGGAAGTGTCAACGACAGAATAATGTCACGTGTTCGTTGAAATGTTGAGGATGATAATTGATGTTGAGAAGGGCTGTTACTTCTTGTGTTAATATTAACTTTGGATGATGTTGCAACAG